GGGTGTGGGTGGCAGCAAAATCCAAAGCTTTATTGAGTAATTCTGTTGAAATTGATGGATAGAAGTTAACAATGTCAAACGTTATAAATGAATGCTTCCCTTTGTTCTGAATGTTGTTAAACCAGTCAAGCGTTGCTTTCGTGTTCTTCCATAGGTTGACACCAGTGGCACTGACTATGGCTTTGTTTATATCGTCAAGGATTCGCTTGCTGATTTTGCCGATTTCCGATTTCGTTGGGTTTATTAATCGACATGTAGGGCTGTTTGCGAAGTTCTCTTTATGGTCTTTTAGCGTGATGAATGAGTTTTTGCATGCTAATGATTCAATTCTATCTTCTAGGTTGAGCTGGTGTGCGATGGAGCTGGTGTGCGATGGAGCTGGCTTTTTGTTGATCTGGCTAAGGGCGTCCGTAGGGGCTTTCTTGCACTCTTTTTCGATGTTCTTTTTGAGAAGAGCTCTGTATTCCGTGGGCGGTAGCTTGTAGAAGTTAGTGGTCTTGTCAGCCGGCACAAGGGTATCGTTGGTTGCTTTATAGACTCTTCGTGTTTGGACAATGTAGAAAGGAATTCACTCGGGGAGGGCTTTCTGAACTCGATGTTTTGCACCATGTAAGTCATCATAAGCTCGAATTGTTGAAGTTCGGGTATCTGTGGTGGAGACTTTGTTGAATGGAAGCCAAAGGTCTCTCTAGATTCAAGCCAGATTCATAGCAGATATATATATGTGTATAAATTATAATATCTTCAAGAACAGAAAGTGCTCAATACAAGACAATTTTGTATAGCATTTAATTTAATGTTTTCATTACAATTTTTAATGCTACTTCAAGTTTCATGCAACAAGCAATCAACCGGAACCAAATAAATTAGTTATATATATATATATATATATATATATATATAATATATATATATATATTATATATATATATAAATAAATAAATAAAAATGCAATTTTGTTGTTAATATGATAACAAAGTAACAGAGCAGAAATATTCATTCATTGCTTAATAATATTTACAAATCGCTACTCAGAGTTTCACGCTAATGCGATTTTCAAGCGATTGAGATACTACTCTCTAAGCTCTAACGGGTTTGTTTGGTTCGCGTTCTGGTTGCTGATATATATATAATAAAATTTATTATATATATATATATATATATATAATAAATGAATTCATCATTCGCCTGATGATCGTTTCAGAAGAAACGTGAAACACAGAGTGTAGCGAACAATATATTCAAAATTTTGTAATATTTCATTGATTTTATTTTAATCGCTCTATTAAATTTTGATATCGAGCACTCTTTCTTCTTGGATACTTTACTTAATTGTATATATATATATATATATATATATATATATATATATATATATATATATATATATATATATATTTATATTTATATATAGTGCATGTCAAATATATAGTACAATAGGCATATATATCAGACACATGACCACATATGTAGAATAAAAAATATTGAATTACAAATTCATATTTGAGTGTTTACCACAAGGAGTGTACAAAATTAGAATAAATCCTGTAGTCCTGGTTTATTTATCTCATATTTATATATTTATTTAACTATGGCAATAATATGACTAAATAGCTATTTAGTCATATGAAAACGTTTTCAACAATTATTTGCTGGTTTTATTAAATTTATAATCTGTTCAAGATTCTATATTAAATTGCCAAAGTCTATTGCACTAAAAAAATTTTAATCTTCTATGTAAGAATGACATATAAATTCATGAACACAATTTAGGTGAAGATGCCTTTTTTTCCATACATACTATTAAACTATTAAATAAATATTGAGTAAGAAAGTACAGAAAACTTCAAGCAGACGTACCACATCATTGAGATTAATACAATATCAGGTTGCATTCTTAGAAAAATATATTCCAAATAACACATATGCTTTTTTTTCTATCCGAATCGAATTCAGTCAATTCAGGGGCCGGTTGAATAAAATTCTTAATCATGCATCCTAAAGGGCATCGTTAACTTTCCAAATCATAGTTAAAAATGGAATCTTGAACTTTTGAGGAGTGATAAAACATTAAAATCAACACCTACCAAGGTTTTCAACCGTTATCCACCAGAAATAATAAAGAGTTATCATAATTATCCAACTCCAATCTCCACTTTCTTCTGCAACCTTTAGTTTTACTCAAGAAGGTATTTTTTATTATAGAATATATTTTAGAATCTTTTTAGTTGAATTATTTTTATGTTTTTGCATTATCTTTGCATTTTTTTATCCAAATACCAACAATTTTTGTAAATACGAATCCTCAGTCTGGTTCAAAATCTGTAGCGGCGGTTTATGGTTTACGGGTACTTCATGTTATTGCTCTGTTTGACAACCACACCGCCAGTCCACGCAAGTTTACGTGTTGAGGGCCTCTTTCAGCGCATATGCTGGGGGAGGCATTTGCCCTTCCAGTGCAGCTTAATGCCACCCTGACCCCCCTCCATCAGCTCCGAGTAGCCCATTTTCTCTATTTCACGAGAAAATCTTTCAAGTAAAGAAGGTTTGAAACAAATTCCGATCCATTCCAGTATTCAAACGGATTACGTTTAGAATTACGTTTTAGCTGCCATCTTAAATATAAAACTAGAAATACATTGCATGCAAAGTCCCCTCGCCTGACGCAATAAACTTTAAACAATAAACAATATTTAAAGCTATAAACAATATTTCCATCACTGAAATTCTATGATACTCGTTTCTGCTGAATGATCGAAGTCGTAAAGTAAAATCCTATATCTTGGTAGAATTATAAAGTCGACTCTCGAGCTATCAAATTCGACTATAATATAATCATAATTGTGCAACGAATAGTTTTAAATACTACAATTCTTAGCGAAATTTCAATTACTTTTTAAACAAATTCACCTTTAATAAAAATAAATACTTTTCAAATCCAAATCATTTCAACGATATATTGACGAATAAATTCAAAGAGGGGTCATACATTTGTTGATAAATCCACATATTAAACTTACAAAACAATAGTATACTTTAAAATACCGAAATCTACCCATTTACCTGTTCAAAAACACTTTAAAAATGCTTCAAAATCGTAGATATTTCACCATCCATTAGAATGAAAATTTTTCTATCCAAAGGTATCTTTTACATTATATTTTAATCAATTTTACGAGTCAATTTTTCGTATATTTTTAATTAAGACCATCCAAATGAAAAATATTATTTAAAAAAAGGTTTATAATTCAAAATATCAGTTATGCTGACGTGACCCAAATTTTAATTTAGCCAATCGCACGTTTGTAAACGTTTGCTAGTTACCAGTTTTAACTCGTCTTATACTCACGCATGCGCATAACTTACAAAAACGCCCAACGTCCATGACATAATGACAACTTTCATTTCGCATTTGCATTCCCGGGCGTAATTAAAATCTCCGGGTGAAATTAGTACCCTTGCCCGGTGCTTCGCACCGGCTCGGGGATAATTCTTGGCACGATCAGTATGAAAGTGTGGTATGTTAAATTTACGTTCATTTTCAAGGTCATGATGTAACGGTGGGAGCAAATTATGAAGTTTTATGCTCCGGATCTTTGACTATATTATTCTTATACGTAATATCATGACATGAGGGAAATTAGTGATTAAATGCCCCGAAGGCAAGGGAGGTTTGTGTAATTCCTGAGAGCGCAGCCCGAGGCCAAAATTCGCGGGACTCTGTGGCAAATTTTTGGCTTCATTTGCGGGTGACTCGCGAGATGACTGCAGATGCAGAGCGAATTTGAAAGAAATTTGGTTTTTTGTTTGTTTCATGGTTTTAAATGTCTTTTTTGTGGAATCATATATAATGGAATTAATCTTAAATTTAACCAGGTGAACTGTTTCACAATTACGTCTGCAGTTGCGATCGGATTGGAAACAAATTCTCTTAAACGGAACAAGTTCACAGCGATATGCAATTTTGACAACAACATTTGTACGAAACGGATATCCTAAAAGCTAAAATTTCATCGCAAAATACACTTGATAGACATTGTTTAAAATTATAAGTTTATGTTTATTTAATTCCAAGTGACTAGATGACAAAAAAGTTCTATTAATATAGATAAAGCAAATATTCCTGCATTGTCACGCTAGGCTCTACGCTTTTTCCTATAGTGAAGAACTGTCTTCTCCGCATTTCTAAAATTAGGACCATAAAATGCATTCTACTAACATCAAGAATGTCTCAGCCGACTGGAAGTACTAAGCCGGCAGTTATTTATCTGTAAAAAAATTTTTTTGGAGTTTTTATCAGATTTACGAAATCACAACAAAATACATTTGTTTCGGCCGCGCTTGTTTTTGCGTGTAAAGACTGAGGGTGACTTAGTTTCAACTTTTGGTCGGAAGGTAACGACCGTAGCGTTCCAGTTATTTTCATTTCACTGGCCAATGGTTATAATAAATCAATCTTAAAACGCCTTTTTCAATGACGGCTGTTCCGACAAACAACTTCCTTAATCTTATACTCCAAGTTGCTTCGAAAAAAGTTCAAAAAACCACCTTTTAACTTTTAATAGCTATTTCAAATATTGTGAAACCAACCATTCTCAACGAAATGTGAGCTATTTTGAAATTCTACTTTTCCCGTGACAGACGTCCACAGCTTTAAAAACCGTTTTCGCTGTTTAATTACTGGGATAAAAGTCGAAAAGTCACCACCGTCAATCTGATTTTCCACCACCGTAAAAAAACTAGATAAGTACCTTTACTTCAATATGATAATGAAGGAATATCACTGAAGAAGCAGAATATGAAATGCTTGTATTTATATACATTCCTTCGTTTACAAAGTCAAAAAAAAACAGGTGAAAAATCGATAACTTAGTCCGGAGTTGAGCATTGGTTTAAGTGAAGAAAGGACATTTTGAGGCACAAAAAGGCAGAAAGGTACACAAGCTAAGCGTGTTTCAATAAAAGAAAATTATTTGGCGCGATATGCCAATATCCCATGATTCACTGGTGGCAAAAGGTTACGTAATTTACGCATTCCATTCCCAGTCTTTTCGCGAGTTTTGCAAGATTTTTTGTTTAAAGAACTAAAATTAGTTACGTAAAACAATGGGATATAAAACGTTTAAGGATTTTAAGGATTATAATTATTTGATGGTTATGCAGTATACGGGTCTATATGCGGTTTTCGGCTTCGGTCGTAATTTAATTACTACGGGGTTCTGGTTTTTGTTTTTTTGTGCGGTTTTTCGGATTCCAATAGCCCCCAACACCTCTCTCTTCACAGTCTGTTAACATGAATATACGTCACTGCAAATAGGCAACTAGCGCACCACGAAGCGTAGCAAATTATCTCTCACTAGTTTCTGGTTTCGCTTAAGCAGTTTTGAGAGATTTCGCTCCTGATCTTTCACGACTTGTTCATTTCGATAGAAATCCAGCAAGTAATTAAATAAAATGTGTGTTTCGAAATTTTGATGACATGAACTATGCAACCGCCTGATGTTCTTTCGGTTGTTTTGCGATTCTTGCGTACTGGTTACCACGCAGTTTGCCTGATCACAAAGGTTGATGTCATGATACGCGCATAAAGGTGATTTGTGAGGATTCGTGGTCGAATGGAATTTATCTCCCAAGATATAGCGGTCAGTTGAACCAGTAGCAGGGTCGACATATGCACTATCTTCGGCCTCGATGTATACAGTACCGTCCATTTTGTATTCAGGCGGCACGATTGCTGGAATGTTGTGGTTCTGTAACATAAAGTACGCCCAGGTAACTATTAGGCCTAATATATTTCGAAAAATAACCGGCTATATATCGCGAACTGCTGTCCAGCAGTAGTGAAGTGCGTCTCCAAAATTAAAGAGGCGGGATTATATTTATAATCTGCATAATGAATTGTTAAAAATCGAATCAAATTTATTCCTATTATCAGATCATCTTGCTCTTGCGTTCATATTTTATATTTGACTATTCTCGCTTATATCTTTACTAAATGTAGCTATAATGTTGCCAGGTTGTTGCTTATAAACATGCATGCATTCATGGCTTTCTTTAGATGGTATTTTCTAAGATTTTGAATTTTCTTTTTAATTCTTTATAGCCGAGGCCTAAAGGTAATTATATTTAGTGGAAATTTCACTGACTATAATTTCCGGGCATACGAACGAAAGCTCCGCAATACCAAATTTTCGTGGTTTTTGCACAAACAAGTTATATAATATTGATTGCATCAAGCAAACATTCAAAGAACTAAATGTACTTAGCCGTTTTCCAAAGTCATGTTTGACAGTCGAGCGAATCCCTTGTTTAGGGGGACAATAAATGTGACGAAGTTGATATTTCATTTTCCAGTCATGTAAAAAGTTAATATTTTAATTATATATATGCCTTTATATTCTCATATATTCCAAAACAGCATTTTTGGTCCTGCAAATGCAAATGCCACCTATACATAATGTACATGAGATAATTATACGATGTTTGTCTTATTTCTAGATACCTGAATCGGATCCCTTTCAGTTGTTGGTGTTTCAAAACAACCACCTATGTTTCCTCATAAGTCTGTGCAGATATCTGGAAATCTACATTCTATATGCCGCGTGCTAACCCACATGGTGTGTCGTTGATAAAGAGTATCGGGTGGTATTTCATTGACAAATACAAGTCTACAGCATCTCGTACTGACTCAGTCAAGCAAAGAAACATTGATGCGACAGTACACTGCAACAGAGCATAAAATTTATTTTGGTATATTGTATAAAACGATAAAAATTTATTTTAGTATATTGTATAAAACGATAAAAATTTATTTTATTTGTACACACATGCATGCATCGTTTGTATAGTACACGTGAATGTTTTTTCGCTATTTCACGCTTTTACTTTTTTACGCAAGGCTACTTGCACTGGACAGCTACAGAATCTGATAAATTTCCCTTTAAATTTCAAAAATATTTTTGGCCAGTGGCCAGTAATCTCGTGTTCCACTATAGCTTGGAGATATCGAAACGTATAATCTCGGTATTCGCAAATACGCCACACTAAATTTATATATACGTTTATGTTAATAAAATTGATATTAATGTTGCATTTACCTTTGATTTTCTCTGAGTGGAAATGGAACATTGTTCGCATATATCTTTTATCGCTTCAAAAGACATTTCTTTAAGATTCTCTATATCCAGTTGTTTTTCCTTTATGAGTTGGTGTAATTTGCTGGATCACCTTAACAAAATTATTAGTAAAAAAATTATAAATGCGCCACAACACAATTACAATATGTCAAGTTAATCCTAGTAGCTAGTCGAAGATAATATACATCTTGTCACATCGGAAGAAAAGGTAATTTATATACCTCTGGCTCTATACTTAAAACCCCGCCTTCCTACAGAACCATGAGTTGGACTGGTCAATCTGATCTACATATAATATATTATTACATAATTATAATGAAACGAACCGTCATACTCCAAAGATTTTAAAATGGCACTCTGTTTCTCGTGTTCGGAGTTCATAGCGCTCTCATTTCGCATGGCATCAGGCATTATTGGCGGCAATTCTTCAATCTTGATCTTGAATGCATTTCCATTTCTGGTGTAAACCGCCTTTTCCTCTAACGAAATCATGCTGCCATGTTGCTCGTTTTCTTTGGTATATGTTATCTATAAATTTGAGAAGTTTATATGTCTATTTGAATGCACTTATTTGAATGCGGTTTTATAGAATATAATATCTTTATGGAATATGGCAATTTTTAAAATGTTATACGGACAAAACATTCGCTATAACTGCAATTGTAACGTTATTGTTACACCATTACAGTGTTTTCTATAATCATAATCAAATTTCTTAAAACTCATAAAATTACCAGTTCATAAACTATATAGGGAGTCATAACCTTAAACTTTTTCTGCTTACCAATTTCTGTGGGGATTGATTGATGCATGGCTCTGCACTTGTTATTTCTTTGCAAAACTTCACTTTAATTTCGATCTCTTTTAATGGATTCATTTCTGCATGCAGGTGTGATTTTCCTCTTTGACCTGGATGAAACATTGGCTCGGACAAAAAAGACGAACAGAGTTTGCATATCTCTTCTACTGGAACAAACTGATGTGGCCATCCTCAATCCAGACCCATAACACTACCCGCATCCTTCTCGGTGGAAATTAATATGTTGGACTTCATGTCGGTACCATATGGAAGTGACCGTGTAAATGCCATCTAAAAACGCCAAGGATTATAAATATCGATGTTTACATCCATATTTACAATTTTTTTATACAACTCTCTTCATGGTCATATTCGTAAAAACAGAGAGGGGCTAAAAAGGCTCCAAGAGCTGTTTTGGCTTTTAAAATGTCTCTAGTGTGGTGCCAATAATGCTTCTAAGAGCTAATTTATCCTGATGCCAGAACGTGAATGACCAGAACGTGAATGAACCGTAGAAGCCAAAATGGCTCCAACGGGCTTTTTTGGCTCTTTTAAAAACTGGGGCTGTTACTGGGGCCAATAATGCTTCTCATTTATTAATAGGCCTAAAATGGCTATTTTCCTCTGTTGTACAATAGTCATAATTGCTCTATAAAAAGAGGGGAAAGGCCTGATCAGCTCTCCAAAATATAGGGCCCAAACAGAACTTTGAATCGGGCCAAAAATGATCCTGATTTAATAATGTCAATATAGCCCGTTTAAAAGGGGTCTTGGGAGTTAAAATGGTGCCTTTTAATTAATTTACTGTGTAGTTAATTTAACATGGGACAATTATGAAAATGGGCGTGGTTGTCGTGAGCAATGGTCATGGTTCGCGCGTAATCTAAACATTATCTCTCTCCGAAATCATAACTTTTCAGTTATTTCTTCAGTCTGGAAATGTAGGTTTATCGTGACTATTTAAAAGTCCAGCTCGAATAAATCAAGTAAAATAATCAAGAATGTTATTAATTAACCCCGCTCTTCAATAATCGCCGCATCGTAAGTGCTAAAATTTAATAAACGTCGCAGTCTTTTTGGAACAACAACTAATATAATAATTATTGATGATTTTTCAACTGCACGAAGCATTCACAAAAAAGTTATAATTTGAGGCTAGAAGAACACCCAAAAATATCCACATTATTCACACTAGCTGCCGTAGGAAACGAAATATCATACCTTCAAAGTAGATTCCCTTTGAATACTGCTAGCTTCCGTCGTGACGCGTTCCGGCAGTTCCGTGATCGTTTCCTCTAAGGTTATATCTGCTGGTTCATTGGTCACCGCCTTCGATATAGGTGAGGTCAAAGCTAGAGCACACAGCATTGTGTGGATATGAATACATAATGCTTGCACTCATTCCTGCTTCGCCTCAGACATTATTCTACGGCAATTTTTACCACAACAGGTTATAGAGGGATGGTCAGCATTTCGCTTGACGTGGCAGAATCCCAACGGATTGCTCGCGCCGCTGTTGCATATACTGCAAATACCGTATCACTTAGTTCTACTTCTGGTGTGCAATCATATCTAAGCGATAAATCCTCAAGGTTTCGACGAATTGTGTCCCGCAAAGCATTGGAACATGGATACGATACTAGCTGTTCAGCGCTTATCATGTGTTGCGTTTTTGGTTGAGAAAGCTGATAAACAGCTTTGTCTATGTGCTCGCATCTAAACTGAGTACAGTCACTATTTAACACAACGGCCCTTCTCTGCTTGCAAGACTCCTGTAGGCATATCCATAATCCCTCTTTGCTACGAGAAACAAAACACCGATCGTTGCAATTTGTGGTCGATATTGATGCTACGTTTTCACACACAAAGGCAGCTGGTAAAATATTTAACTTTGCTTTTTTCTCCTTTGGCACGTACGAACCTTCTACTGCATAATTGCAATTTGGGCCTAATGCCGGCTTATAACGGTTGAAATAGTTAGTTTTACACTTCGGACAACTACCACATCCACGTTTTCCACTCATTTTTATAGTTAATTCAATTAACGTTGAGCTCAATGCTCTATAGAAGCCCGACAAATATTTGCAAAAATTATTTGGGTTACATGTTCCATTGAACAGATAATAACGAAAAAAGAATGCCTATGTATTCATGTTTCTTTTTTGGGCTACAGTACTCTATTGAACTGATAATATCCAAAAATAAAAATGCCCACGTAATCATTTTTTTGGGGGGTTACATGCAGTGCTCCATTAGCAAATTTGTTAATCGGCCAAGGCTGAACGTAGTTGGTAAGGAAGTATTTGGTGATTATAATCTCGAAAATAAACAGAGACAAAATGGAAACGGAACTTGAGATGGTACGTGCTTACTTTCAACCCAGTTTGCTTTACAAGTTTATAGCAGAGAGATGTAAGGTGAATTAGGTGATAAATGTTTCGAATCCTTATCATGCCTTGTAGCAACCAGACGTTTTCTAAACAAGAGAAGGGCGGACGTATATGTACGATGGCAAGAATTGGGTTGAGTTTGGGGTGTGTTCGTGTGCGTCGTCAGTTCTTGGCAAAATAGAAAAAGGTGAGTTTATTTAGTTTCTTTCTTAAATGCTATAAGCAATCCTTTTCAGTAAAAACCTATTTCTGAACAAGTATCCTAGCTGCCTGTGCCTGTTTTTAGCGATAATGGAAAAAAGTTTTCTTTACCCAAACGTTACAACTTTGACTCTAATTAAAACATGTTTTATGAGCACGTGTACACGTGAAATGAAAACGACGGTATTTGCTTTTCGAGTGTGTTAGCTTCTTAATTGCCGATTCTGTTTACTTTGAGAGAGGGCTTCTTAATCGGTATTCATAGCAAATCGCGACTACATGCAGTGAAGACAAATGCGCTTGGCTAATGCGCAGATAAATGATCGTAAATATGTTTTGTTTTAAAATTCGAAACTTTTTGGCAGAGGCACTTCGTACTTTTAAATTTTTCTTTAGGCAATGTTACTCTACAATCTACATTGTGGACTGCTTTATTTTTAACATATACTGATAGTAATATCGACGTGTTAAATGATCTAAAAACGTTAATAAAAGACGCCTTTTCTGGCGCACACTAAAAAAGGTGTGTTAAATTTGCACACCTTTTTTGTCCAAATTTTAACACACCTAAAAATAGGTTTTCAAACACACCTAAAGGTGTGTTTAACACATCATAATGTGTGCAAATAGCATCTCCAAAGGTGTGTTAACACATAGCAAGGTGTGTCAAAAAACACACCAAAAGATGTGTTTTCTGCTTGTCCAAATTTTAACACATTCTAAGGTGTGTTTTCAAAGAAGGTGTGTTTTCGTACACACCATGGTGTGTTTCATTACACAGCTAAAGCTGTGCTGGAGAACACACAAATTGTTTAGGGAAAAAGTTGCACACCTTTCCTAAAAATAACATATAAACCGGGCTAGAAAACACAGAAACACAATATTAATTTATGATTATATATTAATTTAATACTTAAAGGCAGCCGCCGATAATCTATAAAAGCGGTACGTATATTCAAATTTCGTTTCGAGGTGATATGGGTGAATGTATATTCAAAGTTCTATACATACATTTTTACTATCAACAAAAATGGGTGTGTTGGAACGATTACGAAGAGCAACCTGAAGAACTGCTCTTTTCTACACATTAGAACATAGAAAATAGATTAAATCTATTGATATACAAAAAATACTTTGAAGTGTTTTGTGTTACGGGATATTAATTAGCCATTATAGAGGTTTTGATCCATTTAAAAAAGGCGATGTTTTCTCACGTTGAAGATTATATAATGTTTGTAACATTATATCTTCAACCTGTCATAGTGCATAAAATTATAGGTATTTATAAAGAGGCTTGATACAGGATGATAAAGGGTTTACGTTTTTGAAACACGATGTAGCTATATGGTATGGTTATATATCGTTACCTCAGTAAAATTTATCTTTTCACAAGAAAATAACCTTTCCCGAGCCGCCAGAACATTTCTACTTTCAGCCTGAAATTTCAAATTTATAGTGAAATTACAGTAATATATAAAAAGGGAAATGGAGTGAGGAAAAGCTGGGGGGTATATCCTCTTAAAAAATCTGCTGAAAACGTAGGATGACATATAAACCTGTTTGTTTAGAGTTTTACAGGTTTCTATGCACACATGGTAATGGGTGCAATAAACTAGCTTTAAAAAGATGACAACTGCATGGTGCAGTATCTGAAATAGCTTTGACCACCTGCTCACAAAAAATACCTACAAAGAATACTCTAACACAAATCTTTGAACAAAATTGCTTCCTAATATTGTTTACGGAGTATATAAATTGGCATTGGCTTAATAGACCTTCCTCATGACGTCATGCAGATGCAGAAGCCTGATGTTACGCTGATTTTGATTTTGGCCCCACAAAACTAATAAAGAACTCACTTTTATATGAAATTTGAATATACAGACCAGGCAATAACTAAACAAATCCTAACATGAATATTCAAAAATCTTACCAGCTCAAACAAAAGTTTCATTGTTTCCTCTGTAATTATATTTTTTGAGTAATCCAAGAGTATTTCCCCATCAGAGGTATAGCCACTGACAAACTAAAAAAGAAATTTTATAAACACTGCAAAATTATCTTGTGATGAAATGCAATATAATGAAACCAAAAATGTCTTTTCAGCTTGAATTTGAATATTGAGAGGGGTTTACTACAAAATCTAAACTGATTTAAGGGATTATGTAAGCAGGCTCTTAACTATATAAATGTCTAACCTATGGTGTAACATACATCAGAGTGATCAGCAGGGCCGGCCTGCAGTCATTTCATGGGAGGGGGGATATTCATTTCTTTTGAAATTGATTGTTTTTACACTCTGCTAACAATATTTGGGAAAAATATTCTTTTCAAACCTACAACCAATAGCGTTGTTATTAAGGTGTTTTGAATTTAAAATTGAGCTGTGTAATTTATTCTGCACAACCCTATATCTGCCACTGCTTTTTTTGTTTCTCGGCATGTTTGTGAATCGAGTTAACAAGTTAGGCTGGGCACTGGTTATTCAAATCAGCTTCAAACTGGTGGCAAATTATCATCCCAGTTCACATAGAGTTCACTACAGGTGACACATGACTAATGTTTTGTCTGCAGTGAACTCTATGTGAACTGGGATGATAATTAGACATGAGTAAACAGCTTTTGGAATAACCATTATACCCGAATAACCATATTCTATGTTTTGCAATTCTATTTTTGCAATTAACCCATTTAATCAATTATGAATCCAGTTTGATATTTTGCAAAACTCACAGGTGGCAAGATGGGTTTGGGGGTCACAGTCAAACGTTTGATTGGGTTGTTAGCTTTGTGGAACTAATCAAACATGTGATATGTTTGTCATCATTATGAGTAAGACCTATTGTAATTAAATAGCATATACACACCATAAAAAACTATAAGGAATTTTGCTAATGGATTAATTAGGTTTACAGAATATTATTGATAGTCAGATAAAAGATCTATGGGTATATGTGGATCATTAAGACAAACACACTATATATTTTCAAATTTATGGCACAGTTTATAAAGATGGACGTCCACAATTAATTTATTTGGTTTGTTCTGCCATATTGTGATAATTTTCAAATGGTTACTTAATTGTTGTCCATGCACTGACTGTCTGACTCCATTCTCTGTGTATTGCCCTGATGATACTGGACCCAACAATTATTAAAGAGGTCCTCGATTTAGGAATACTAAGATTTAATCAAAGTTATGCCAAAAAACGGGCGATTTTAAAGCGATTGAAAAAAACACTATCCGGTAGATAGAGCTATCCATTGCGCTATCCGGCTTTCATACAACCGGCCCCAGTCTGTTTCGTTCATACAAACCTAAATTTGTCAAAACGTTTCGAATCATCTCCGAACAGCTTTCTCATGTGAATCTTTGAGCAATAGTGTTTTTGCCCAGCTTTAAAAGTTGGATCATCTCTCGATCTCCTTCCACTATGGTCCATGTTTGACAAATGTTTGACATGTTACAGTGCCTTTTTTACGTAACTATATATCTGGGGGGCAATTGATTATGTTATTATGTGATTATTATTAAAATACTTGAATGGCAGTTCAAAAACGAACTGAAAAACACAAGTTTACAAGTATCAGAAATAAGACTATTTACATATTTACAGTGATAAAATACTCAGAAATACAATTACTAACATGTTAATACCATAACTACAAAAAGATATGCTAACATTAGGTTCTAAAATATTAAAATATTAAAATGAGTTCCATTTACGTATGCAATACGGCAAAAAGCTATCATTATAGCGTTTCGTTCGACATTTAAAAAGAGAGATCGATCGAGGATGTCTGAGATCGTACTCATGGGTTAAAAGTTTGGGTAATAGACTAGAAATTTTACCCGAAGGGTCATTATAATTATTTTTATAAAAGGTTCTGCATAACCGTTCCCTTCTCGCTTCTAAGGTAGGTAAATTCAGGTCTTTAAGGCTTTCGGTGTAGGACAAATGGGGAAAAATAATTTTGAACGCACGTTGCTGAATATGTTCCAATTCAACGGTGAGGAAATTAGGTAGTGAGGTATGCCAAACTGGACATGCATATTCCAGGACAGGTCTGATGAAACTACAATATACCGCCTTAAGATCACTAGGTTGGACACCATTTCTTCTTAATAGCCTTAAGGCATACAGGCGTTTGCTTGCTTTAGAGGATATGTGCCTGATGTGTGTGGTCCACTTGAGATCGGAGGTTAAATTTACTCCCAGGAGTTTGATAGAGTTCACAGCCTCCAGAGGTAGGTTATTGACAAGCAAGGGTTGTGCCGGGGGTTGATTGATCAAGAAGGACACGGTGAAATCTTTAGTTTTTTTTACGTTTAATTTCATGTTGTTCACATTCGACCACTGAGACACCTTATCGAGTTCTTGCTGTAATTTTGGAAAATCCGGTTCACATACTCTAACAACTTCAGAAATAGCACAATCATCAACGTACTTGTACAGTGGTAGTTCACTGGATAGATCATTGACCATTATAAGAAAGAACAAAGGCCCCAATTTTGTGCCTTGCGGAACTCCAGCATTGATTTCTTTCCAATCAGATTTACAAGATTTTAATTTAACGCGCTGTTGTCTGCCTTGAAGGAAACTTGAACACCAGTTTAATAACACGGGTGGAACGTTGAGGAGTTGTAATTTGCGCATTAGAATGTTATGGTCAATTCGATCAAACGCTTTGGAAAAATCAATAAAGCAGGATCGAATAATGGTATTAGGTGTTTCCAGGGCCGAAAGCCAATGGTGGATTAGGTGCACGAGGGCGTGAGTCGTTGAGGACTTTTTCACACAGCCAAACTGGAGGGGATCAATGAATGGCATAACAATGGGTGCAAGCCAATTGAACACGAAAGACTCAAGGATCTTGCTCAGTACTGCCGTGAGGGATATAGGTCTAAGGTCCGTATCAATAGATTTCGGTGTAGGGATCTTGCTTAAAGGGAGAACATCCGCGCATTTCCACAGATCAGGTACACGACCTTCTCTAATGGAAGAGTTAAACATGGAGCATACAGGGTAGCTAATATTTGCGGCACATGTTTTCAGGATCCAATTGGGGATCTCATCAGGTCCTACAGACTTACGATCGTTAACACCTGCCAATGCAAGTTCAACAGCATCACGCGTAATGACGTATCTATCAGGAACATTGGAAACGGGTACTGGAGTGAAATTTAAATGCGGTATATCAGCAGTAGCACTGCAGAAGGATTCATTAATGACGGTGGCAAGTTCAAAGTCTCTCAAGACGGTGCCGTTTATGGCTAGACTATTAAACGGAGGGGGGTTGGACATTCCTGACAACTGCTTGATACCGTCCCACCACTTTTTAGGATTGCTCTGGTTCATGTGATTGATTTTGTCGTTATAGAATCTTCGACGTGCACTTTTACAGAGTTTTATCACTTTATTGCGATAAACATTAAATTTGGGAAGGTCATTATTCAACCAAGCTTGTTGACGTTTCTTAATGGATTCTTTAATAGCGGGAGTAATCCATGGTTTATCGTTGGGATGGAGTTTAACAGTACGCATGGGAATACATGAATTCAAAGCACCATGAACCACAGACTGGAACAAATCCAGTTGATCGTCACATGAATTTAGCCTCATGAGCGGTGTCCAATTGACCGAGTCCAGGCAGGATATCAAGTTTCGTTTGTTGGAAACACGATAATCACGCTTTTGGAGTCGTGTGGTGGGTAGGCTTGGAGCATGTGGTGAAGTGGGTTGAAGTAATATGCTAGAATGATCAGATTGGCCAATAGGTGGCAGGATGGTAGCATCGTAGTAAGCCGATAAAGTTGAAAATGCTTGATCAAGGATATTACTTCCCCTGGTAGGCTTGGTGACCAGAGTTTTCAATCTAAAGGAATTGCACAGATTTCCTGGCTTAAATTGGTTAAAATCTCCGAGAACCAGGACAGCGGAATTAGGATAGTTGGCCAGTGAGGAATCTAAACATTTGAAGATATGCGTTCGAAGCGCGTGGTCATCGCTTTGGGGGGGGTGATAAACTGTTCCCAGGATAATGGAGTTTATTCCTCGGGGTAATCGATCCATTTTGATTAAAAACCATTGACTCTCAATTTCAGGATCGCCTAAGTCAGTTAATTCGGTAAAATTAAGGTTTGAGTTAAAATAGGAACAAAGACCACCACCGCGCTGGTTATTCATTCTATCACGTCGGCAAGATACATAACCAGGAATACGTATAGACTCATTAGTTATTTGTGGATTTAACCATGTTTCAGTAATTACGGCAACGTCACACAGTTCGATAGAAATTGATGCAGAAACTTCGTCTAACTTGTTGACCATCGACCTAACATTACTAAACCAAATCTTGGGAAAGCGTGGGATCGTAACATGAGTCTTCAATGGGATTAATAATCTAAAATTGGGAACCCAGATGCGCTCCCGCCGTTTGTTTTTTCTGTAAGTAATCCTAGTAGGTATTCTCATCTCTGCTGGCTGATATTGTTCCGTGTTACTCGATGAACATAGTGGAGGTATTCCTTCCACGACTTCATTTGTTCTATGGGGTCTATTTGAAGACTCGAGTTGAACTTTATCAGGGGCTTTATAAGCGTTGGCGGCTGCCAGAAATGGACCCTTGTTGGATTCCGAGGCGGCCTTGGACGGTAGTTTCTCCTTGGACGGTGGTTTCTCCTGGACGCTTTTAATAAAAATCACGATTTCTGACTAGGTGTCGATGGGTTATAGGGGGGTGATTTGCGTCTTGAATTCCAGGTATAGAGCTGCAGTGCCTGGGTCTTGCAGGGAAAGGCTTCTTGCACAATTCGCTTTCGCAGTCTTGCTTTTGATGGAATGCTTTGTGTTGTTTAGCACGGTAATGATGAACCTGTTGCGTTAGAGAGTCATTTGCATTTTGTTGATTTCCATTTAGATTATCTAGATTTGGACTAAGACACCGGTGGCTTTTATTTGCATTTGGGAGATGACCGGCAGTTGGATCTTTTAGTTGGATCTTTCTGACTAGATGTCGATCAGTTATAGAGGGGTGATTTGAGTCTTGAATTCTAGGTATAGAGCCACAACGCCTAGGTCTTGCAGGGAAAGGCATCTTGCGCAATTCGCTTTCACAATCGTGTTTTTGGAGGAATGCTTTGTGTTGTTTGGCGCGGTAATGATAAACCTGTTGTCTTAGTGAATCATTTGCATCTGGTTGATTTGCATTTAGTTGATCAAGATTTGGACTAAGACAATGGTGGCTTTTATTTCCATTAGGGAGATGACCTGCAGTTGGATCATTTTGTTCGACATCAGTAACAATGATGACTGAATCATTAGCAGCTGTTAAGCCTCTCGTTATACGGTTATGGTTTTGATATTCAAGCACCGATTCGTGACCCAGACCATTGGGTAGTTTACTTTTGCCATTAACTGAGGCTAATCCGACAGGACTTAAATCTGTATTGTTCTCTATGTTCGCTGTTCCCTTTAGATATGATTTAATTAACAAAATCTCATCTTTGAGACGGTTTACCTCATGCTCTAAAGCACTGTTCTTTGCCTTTTCTCCCTCAAGATCAATATGTAGGCAAGCTACTTCTTTAGACAGTTTAGATACTATGATTGATGGGGGATCACCACGGGAATCGTTTAGGGCCTGCATTGAGTCGACCTTGCTATTCAGAATTTCAATCTCCAACATTATATTTTCTAAATACTCACAGTTGTTATCATGATGGTCAATACTTTTAAAAGCATTTTCCGGCATATCTTTAGGTGGCGTCAATAGGTCGATCAAACAGGCTTTTGCTGTTTCTCCAACTGTTCCTTTGAAAGTTAAGGTATTTAACTTTCCGGGATACCATGTCATAGATAGATCTGTGCTATGGGCATCAAAACACTTTGAAACGCCTCCTGACCGCCGCCACTTGCCTTGTTGACCGAAGGCATTCGCCACAAAATCTTGCAAGGATTCGTAGCTATCCTGCCATTTAATTCGCTTACCATCGTAAGAAATGCTATCCGATGTTATATACTTATTTATATTGAGGAAATCAAAGGCGTCAATGAGATTTTTATTTGTAGACTCGGAGCTATGAACACTGTGTCCATCCGCCATGACGTTATGACACTTGAATTATTGCCCCCCCAGAGAATGCATTTGCCCCCCCAGTAACTACATTTCTGCCCCCGTTTACGACACCGTATTGCTCATGATTGCTCTGAGAATTGCTGTTGATTTACTTGCATGATAAAGAGATTATGGCCTTCCATACGGCTTTCTCCACAGCCATTTTGCATGTAATGCATAATATGTTCTTCGACAAATATTTCACAGTAGCGATAGATTTCATAGAATTAATTGAATAGAATGCTAGCTTTCTAAACCTCGTCACAAAGAAAACATTAAATGATACAATGATTATGCCTGAACGGTGTC